TTTTTACCTGTTTTTGTTGTTGGAGTAATAAACACTGATAAACTACAAGGAAAAATTAAATATAATAAAAAATGAAAACAAAGGGCCCTAGGTATCTTCTCTTTGAAATTGTTACTCAAGGTTGAACTGAAACCTGGTGTCTCATGGGCTGTTGTGTCATCAACAGTTAGTTTTAAGGAACATGCTTTATATTTCATAGGGCCTAATTCTGTCCCATTGAATTCAGTGGGAGTTTTGCTATTGACATCAGTGAGAGCAGGGTCAGGGCTACAGTTCATGTCTTTCATTTATGTGCTTCAACTGTTCCATCTGCCCCCCAAACGTGGAGACTGAACACAAATTAAGTGGTCTTCAACACTGTTTGTTGCTGTGTCAATAATAAATAAAGATAATAATGAAACACATTTTGGTGGATTTTATAATCCAATATATTTAATCATATATGTCAACACATTTCAACTAATGTTTATGTATACATGAATAGAGTTGTATGAATAAATTATTAAATGAAAACCAAGTGAAGCAAAATATATGTGTGTAACAATGTGGCCGATTCTAGGATCCTGCATGGGGATGAAAAGCTTTTCTATGGAATCACCCTGATGTTAGCTGCTTGAATCCTGCAGACAGATGCAGAGGTAGTTTGGTAGTTTGACCCACTCTGGGATTAAAATAAGACATGTCCAATTAACTTCAATCTAGGAGTATAAAAAAGATGGCATGTCTCAGAGATGGTGAAACTAAGGGCTGAGATAGAGGTCCTGAAGGAAACCCTAGGAACATTCAAGCTTAGGGAGAAAGCTTAGGCTGCAGTTTATGTTGTACTATTGTTAATTGAGTCAATAAAGCCAAACCCCAGGAAGGGCTAACTTGAACTATATACTACATTTACACGAGGATGAGAACTCTGCTGGCATAAAGTCTATTAAAGAAACAGTCTGTATATATAAAATTATAAAGTACCTGGGATGATTTTACTAATAAGCTCACAGGACTGGATAAACACCTTGATACATCTGTATTGCTGAATGTAATGAGAATTCTAGTGAGCTTTTTATTTTTCAGTTGAAATATATATTCATATATAATATATAATACTACTGTTTCTTTTTAACATATCTATACTAGTGCTTCTCTGCCTGTGTCTTTCTTATATGATAAAGTACTTTCTTTTGCTACCTACATCATCCCAATTTCTTGTCTCTGGGTCATTCATGAGAATGTTTTGTAATGCCATAAAGAGAGTTTTAATGGGGAGCTTTAATGAGTAATGGAAATGATATGGGAAGGGCTATTCTGGCTTTGATTGGTTTGGACATTGATTGTTTAGCACTTATTGTATGTGACACCAGAAGTCTCACTACGGTTACATTCTTATTATGGGTAAGTCCAAAACAAAAATCCAGATCTGAAACCCACAAACTCTGGAAGTTAAATTCAAACCCAGACCTGTATGCTAATTTTGCAAATACCCCCAAGAATAGCTTAAAACCAAAACACTTGATCTTTTGGGGGGGGGGGTCTTCAAAATATAGATTCAAATGTAACAGCTTCAGACCATCTCTAGATTATAAAAGTAAGGACTAGGCCAGCTCCCTTCAAAAAGAATAAACGTACTAAGAGATATAGAGTCTGATCCCACTCTCATTGAAGTCAATGGGAAAACAGCCATTGACTTCAGTGGGAACCAGATTAGACTGATAAGTAGATACTATGGGACTGGATCCCACAAGGTGCCGAGCACTTTGCCTCTGACCCAAGAATTACATAGGCATATGCTTAACTTTAGAGAGAGCAACTTAATGGGGCTACTCCTATGCTGAAAGTGAAGCACATGTCCATCAGGGCCATGGTTAGAGTGCTCAGCACCTTGCAGGACCAAACCCATAGAAATTAAGTGCTACACCAGTTATTATAGTGATGGGTATTTTAGGAATATGTGATAATATGAATGACTCTTTGAACTAGGACAGTACAACTGTGAATGTCAGTACCAGGCTCTAAACTTTCCTCCCTGCATTACTTGTTAGCTGTTTCCAATTTGAGACAGCAGCCTGAAAGCTTGGTAATGCTATCCATGTCAGGGGACTCTGTGAAAGGAAGACTCTGGCTGGTATCTTGATTGCTATGTATTCAGCATCAAGAAAACCAGCAGTGGCTGCGATTAAAGGAACAATGATCAGCCTACACAGGGTTTGATTTTATTATTTCAAGGGACATTTCATTCTACATTTTCATTTTAATTAGGTTTGTTGCTAGCAAAGAAACTTATCATAACAGATTTTTCCGGACAGTAGATTACCACAAAGACAAAAGTCTGAAAAAGCGACTGATGAAGAAACTGAAGAAAGAAAGCAATCACTATTGAAAGGGGGGAGGCAAGGAAATCTCCCTCCCCTGTGAACCCTGGCTGTACATAGTCAATATCCTCTGGGGAATGGAATGCATATTTGCCCTCCTCTATGTATATTTTTGGTGCTTTGTGTTATTATTTGCTAAATAAATGGTGAGGTTTTTTGACTCATCCTCAACTTTGAGACTTTTGTGCAAATTCCCCCATTTAGGGATAAATTGTTAAATAACTCACAAATACTTTAATTTTAAATACAGGTATGGCACACACACCTCTGAAAGTGTGTTTATCTGAACATCAATGCCGCTCTAGATACCTAACTCAGGAGCAGAATGCCAGATTAACCTGTCTCAGTACCATTTTGCTTTCTCACACTAGCCTCTATTTCTCTCTATCTTTTCCCCATTTAGAAACACATACCTGAGAGACTGGGTCTAACCCTGTATACTGCTATACAGTGGAGGTCATCTGTGGCCTTCCAGCTAGCAGACCCTAGTGTTAAATGTTAAGGATTGTTGGACAGCCATTCATAGAGAAAGTCCCATGCCTCCAGAATTCACTTTCCCTGCTGGTCCAAAAGAGCCAGAGTTTATTGACCTTTAGACCATAGTAGAAGGCTAAGCTCTATCCTCAGATATACACCTGATGGGGGCAGAGGCTGGTAGTTTTTTGGTTTGATTGGGGTTTTGTTGTCATGTTGCAAAGAGGTGGTTTGGGAAAAAACCTCTTTGATAAAAGCAGCAGAGACTGAAGTTATGCTTATATCTGAAGGATCCTAAGACATGTTGGTGCATTTTTATATCAAATACACCAAATAAATAGAGATGACTCATGAAGTCACTGATGCTCCATGCTCCAGATTTTCTTAATCTATGTTCATTCCTGTAGGAGTTTGAAGACAATGCTTAAACTTCTTCCTTCTTTTCCTATCCTGCCCCCATTATGTGCTCCAACACGGAAAGAGAGAAAAAGTGTATTTATTGAAACCCTCTTCTCTCTCTTTTATCTGGCTGTACAATCAATGTATTTAAAAAGTACTACTGTGTTTGCTTATATTTTAAAAATGTTTACTTCATCTCAAATTGAAAAATCTACCTACCAGCCTGTGTCTTTGCTTATAGTTGATCCCTCTGTTGTGTGATCTTTGCTGTATAAACAATGTCACAGTAGCTAATACATTAGTCTATGAGTCTCTGAAATAAACATATACCTAGTAAATACTTCATAGTTTAAAATAAAAACAGGCATCTGGCTGCATGGTGCACAGAGGAGAGTCAAAGCTGGGGCATGATAACGCAATGGTAAGATGTGGCCAACTACAGTCACTTGGACATACCCTGTTTTCCCAGCTTAAATCTGTTCCCTTGCCGCTCCGTTTATCTGTTGATAACCTCTAATTAGTCATTTCGTTGTCAAGGGGAAATGCTAACGTGCTGTGCAGTTTACAGGAACAGTTATGTGTATATATATGATCTATAAATTCCCTCCGGAGGCAGCATGGTACCCCAGGCTAAGCTAATATTGCCAGAGAAGAAAGTTTCTGTTGCTCCACTGTGCCAGAGTTCTGCTGTGAATACACGTGGAATTAATTTTTTTCTGCAGGTATTAGAATGTCTAGGGAAAAAACAGCGCCTGTAATTTTCTACACAACTTCCATAAGTCAGCTGGCCTAACGCCCATCTGCCTGGAAGGAGACACAGTTCTTTGCTCAGGTAGTGTGACACTCAGGTGCCTACGCTTTACAGCAATGTGCCCCTTTGCTCCAGGTTACTGAAATCAGCTCATCAAGTCTTTCATCCCAGGAGACACAAACCCAATATATAAACAGAGCCTCCTTTTGCACTCTGTCCTCGGAAGGTCCTGTCTAGAGCAGATCATGCTGATCCAACCTGACAACGTACAGGGATAAAGAGGGAGGCTCACGCCAGATGCATTATAATGCTATTGCTAGACAATATCACAGGAGGGCAACCAGCGATCAAAGAAACCTTTTGCCAGCAGACCTTGCTTTTTAAAAACACACATACACAAACAAACAAACAAAAAACCCAGAGAAGCCAATCAGTGGCTGGTGCTCGCAGACATTTCACAAGAGCTGGAGAGGGATTGTCCTATCATGAACACATTGTTTTTACTGTGCCATAAATAATGCCTCTTGTGCAACATTCAGCACGCTCCAGCATTTCTTATCCCCTCTTACCGCATTTCACTATAACTGGCACAGAGCTGAAAGAGTTTTGCAATATAAAAATGGTTTTGGTTAGTTCCTCTGTTCCCTCCCTTTGTTAGTTAGAGCTGCATAATATAGACTATACATATACCCAGAGGTCCATTGATTGTTCATTTTAACCATTGATCTGGGCACCTCGCTTTGAGGCAGGTGGTTTGATCACATTTGCCTTTACATCTGCGGACGGTAGACAAATGACTCCTTGCCAGCAGCTCATTTTTGAAATTCCGTTCTCTCTCCGCCCTGCTTTTGCCTGTTTTCCGTCTCGCGCCCTGGTGGTTTCATTTAGGGGGAGAGGCGTGAAGGATACAACGAAACAGATGCAATGAAACTGTCACCCACAGCACAGCACAGCACAGCACACACAGACACGCTCTTCCTCCCATCCCACCCTCCAAAACTGACAGTCCCCCTCACCCTTCTGACGATGCCATGGTCCTGAAAGCCCCCCTGTCTTCTCAAGAATCCAAGGGAGGTGGGATGCAAAGGAAGCTCTGTCTTTTGGATAACCCCCTTTAGCGTCTAAGTAGTAGCACAAAAATTCCTTGTATAATCCTCAAGGCTCCAAAAGGCAAGACTCCAGAAGCTCTGCTCTTCAGATTCCTCCACCCCCCTCCACTACCACCACCTCCTGTTGGATTGATATTCTCCACGTCTTTTAGGTTTTCATGTCTTGGAGGAAAAAGCACTGCCACCCCTAGTGGAAAATGAGCAGCGGACGGCAGGGTTAGGCTGTGGAGGACACCTGGGCTTTGATCCCTTGCTTTCTCCTCCTGGAGTGTGTGTGTGTGGGGGGGTGCATGTGAGTGAGTATATGTGTGGGGAAGAGGTGGTGGGTGACTTCACATTGACATGGTGTTGGCTGAGGCTGGATTGGAAGGTTTTAGCCTTCTAGCTGTGGATTTGCAGTCTATCCTTCTCTATTTTAGGCAAGGGCTGACATCACAAGCTGCTGTTACCCCTATAAATCCCCCCAGCCACTTATTTAAAGAAGAAGAAAAATCCCACCGAGGGAATGCATGGATCCAGAGGAATGACAGTGATTTCAGCGGCTGAGTTAGTGCAGCGATTCAGCCTTGCTTGGTTTTCATTACCTGCCCCCCTCTTTGCCAGTGGATTTTAAATCTACAGCGGTGAGGTTAAACGCAGGAGATTAGATTAGAACCACAAAGGACGCGTCTGAACAGGCGCAAACACACACGCTCGTTTCCCTTTGCATTGTTCGTGCCGCTTTGCGAGCTCAGCAGCTATAAATCTCAGTCGGTCCCTAACGAGGACCCTTCCCAGTCTCGTCGTTAGCTTCTTCTCTTTGTTTCCGTGGCTTTGCCTTTGGGGGGTTGTTGATTGGATTTTCCGGTTAGGAACCGAGGGAAGGGGGGTGTTACTGGGTCCTGCTGTGGCAGCTCTCGAAGCATAACTGGAAGTCTATTCGAGCAAATTAGAGCAAATGTTAGCCTTTTGGCAAACGGGGTGAGTGTGAGACACATTTCTGCAGCAGGTAAATCACACCGAATTATAAAGAGAAAACAAGGGGGAGGGGGGAGAAAGATCGCACTGGGGAAAGGGCACGGAAAGGCATGAAGGCAAAGAGTTAATTTCCCCCGGTAGATAGACTACTGTCACGTTCATGTCCTTTAAACCTGATTAACAATCGGATTGGGACTCCAAGGGAGGGGCGGGGAAGGGTCACACTACTGTATAAGTAGGGGGGTGGGGGTGGGAGAGAGAGAAAAGAAAAACACACAGCAGAGAAATTAGAAGCAAGTCAGCAGTTAGGGTTAATGCCGGAGAAGCCTTTTCCTGCATTTCTTCTTTTGATGCCGGAATAAATTACCTGACTTTAAATATTAATTTGCATTACTATTAATGAAGAGCCTTACAGAGTGTTAATCAAAAGGCCGGGGGGAAATTCCTCATACGGGTGATCTACATGTGTATCTCCCTGCGCCCCCGGTAATAACGTGTCAGTTTCTTCTACATATCTTCAACTGGAATGGGGTCCTTGACTTTTTACTTAGTCAGGGCCTTATTCTGCAACCCTTCCCCCTCCTCCCCAGGAGGACTCCTTACGCGCAGGAATAGACCTGTGGAAGTTAAGGGAAATATTCACTTGAGTAACGATAGCAGAATCTACGTTTCTTTCATTCCTGATTTGCCTCTCAAGTTGCCAGAACAAGGGGAAAGTGGCGCAAAACCATGTCACTAACGGAACAGGTCAGGTCAATGGATAGATTAGATAAACAGGGATCAGATCTGCCTTCGGCATATGAAGACTCACTAGCGAGAAGACTCACAAGAAACTGCTTAGCTTTTTAGAAACCAGTAATGAGAGGCAAATGTGTGCTTTGGTG